TTGTTACCATTCGAGTTAAAGATTCGGGAAAAATAATTGGTGGATATAATCCATTGGAATGGAATTCAAACAACAAATGTTATGGTGGACCAAATAGCTTTTTATTCAAATTTGATCCAAATAAATCCGATGGACTTATAAGTAAATGTATTGCAACGGATAATATAAGATGTTATCATGGACATGGGCCATTATTTGGAGGTGGACATGATTTGGCCTTATTCCATTCTACTTGTGGTAATTATTGTCAGAAAAGTTCATATGAACATGGTCTGTTGAGCTCTGATAATTGTACGGCTACTTTTGAGGTTGATGATTATGAAGTATTTCAAATTGTGCAAAAATAAATATTTTATGATTCTTTAGCTAAGCTTATACAAAATAATGGTTTTGTTTCATAACATTAGAGCAGAAATATATGACCCGGCAAACAAGAGGTTTTTATACATGTACATGTATTAATTTTTATATAGTGCCACGTCGAAACGAAAAGTTAATAATTGTATTTGCCATACTTCAACAGAGCGAGCGAGGATGATATAATTTTTAACATCAAGATTCGCGCTTATGATCCAAAATTCCAACTGCGAACGCAACAGTTGACTAAACCATTTGATTTAAACATTTATATTTTCTAATGATAATCATATCATTAATACATATTTACAAATGTAGTGAACTTGCTTGCAAGATCTTTGCATTAGTGTAATGTCGCTTTCAGAACTAAACACAAGGAGCTGCATTAATTACATCTTGAATGCGTTCTTCCATACTTTCAATTTAGCTTCATCAAAACCGCATTATCGATTTCAATCCAAATTTCCCAAAGTTGGTCTTTAAGTTATGAATTATTGTGGATAATGACCTCACGTTGGTCTCAATTGGATTAGGATCAGGGGATTGTGGGGCCCAATCAAGTACGTTGATATCATAAAATTTGCTGCTCTATCACGTTATCTATTATTTATTTGAATAAAAATGTGAATGAATGAGAGAATGAAATTTATTATATGTGTGAGTGCCAAAAGCTACTTTTATATAGTTTTGTGTGTATCGCATCATTAAATTTCTCAAAATCATCTGTCAACCCAGCTCAAATACTCGGGACTTTAAACTCCCGTGAAACACGTATTTTTATTTAATGATTCACATCTACCAATTGATCGTAAAGAACTAACATTTAATTTTCGTTAACTTTTATAACTTTTAAAATTAATAGAAACGCTATTTTTAACCAAAAATATCCATAATAATATATGTATATCGCATTACTACGTAAATGTGCATTGTTGCATGTACATGTATAACCTATTCGTATTTTTCTATATGCTTTCATTTATATTTTCTTACATATTTTCCCTCATATTTTCGTACAAACATTCTCTAGTATTTTCTTTTATATAATTGCAAATTTTCACAATTTCTCGTGAATTTGACACTGCATGGTTTGTAGTAAATGTAATAATCGTAAGAATTTAGAACAGTACAAAAGAAAAAGTATAAAAGGAGAGTTTCTTTTGCGACGGAAAACATGTTTATTCAAATAAATAAATAATACTTACCTTTATTTGTTGTTTATTAATTAAAGCTTGTCGTTTGTACAAGTATCCCGAACTGCCTTAGCAAAAGGAAAGTGAGTGTGAATCACAATATTTCTTCAAGTTCTAATTAATATTAACTTGTATAATTTCAATTTGCTCCAAGATTTTATTCAAAGTTCCCAATGGTGATGTGATCTTAGATCCTCTGATAGTTGTTGTAGACCAAATATGTAATGAATTCTCTCTTATCTTGCTTGATCTTTGGATTATAATAACATTATATTTTTCTTATAGTTTCATTAGGATCCATCTGGTAGCAAAAAAAAAAATGGCATCAGATATTATTATCCATTTAGATGTAGTATATATACTATATCCTACTGTTTAGTATTCTTGATCTTTTTCTAGTAATATAAAAATACATTCAATTTTATACATTATTATATTTATTTTAAGTAACTTCCTGAATATGAGTATGTTCATATATAAAAATCATTATAAATGAATATTTGTGAAATAGTCACAGATTAAAGTTAACTCTCTGAAATATAAAATATAAAAAATTGGATGTTTCAATTATATATAGAATATATTTGATATAAAACTTTATAATATACAAAGAAAATCATATTAGTTTATAATAATATTTTTAAATATTTGCTTTTCTAATTTATTTCTAAGAATTTCTCTTTAATATTAGATCAGATTATGAATATATCAAATAATAGCAACATTAAAAAGTACATTATTAACAAATTCAGATCTATTAATTTACTAGTATTTCTTGTAATCAAATATTTCTGAAACTTAAAATATAATTTTTAAAATATTATAATAAGAATTTGGAATTTAAAATTTAATAATAATTAATTATATTATTAAATAATTCTATTTATTAAATTGATATCTTAATTTATTAATCATCTTAGAAATTTTAAATATTGCTAAATATATTATAGTAGTTTATTAAAGTTATTATGATTCAGTATAAATTAATTGATATATCAAATAAATATTAATAAATTATTTTTTCAAGTTATTAGATATTAAAATTTATTTAAATATAAAAATTTTTTATTATATATCTTTTATAAAAAAATTTTACTAATAACAAACTTTTTTGAATTATTATTTCTTAAATTTTACTATATAAAATTTTATTAAAATTAATATCAAAATTATATAGTAAATAATTTAATTATTAAACTTTGAATTTTAATATTTTATCAAATTTACTTGCATAATTTTTTAGTTTTAATATTACAAATTGATAGTAATAATATCTTTTTTTTAAAAAAAATAATTTTATTTTGTTTTTTAATAAAATAATACTTTATTTATTATTAAATTAAAAGATAATAGAATAAATAAAATAATATAAACAGTCAATTTAGATCATTTTTAATTTAATAAAAAAATATAATTAGAAATAATTATTAATTTTATATTGATATATAAATCTTTTTATATTATAATTTATATTACTTTAAAGTGTAATTTATAATATTAATAATTTAATAATATTTTAAGAATAATAAGCATATATATAACTTATTTATTATTATTTTAATTAGTATTTAAATTAAAATATCTGTTTTTGCTTTTTATAATTTTTATTTATTATATTTAAAGTATAAAAATTTATTCATTATTATAAAATTATAATATAGTATAAAAAGAAATATTTACTTTTAATAAAGCAAAATTCAACTAATTTTTATATTAAATAAAAATTAACTTTTTAAATTATTTTATTATATTATTATATTTTTTTATTTTTTTTAGCAAAGTCTTGCTTTATCTATTATTAAATAAAAAGAAAAATTTTTAAAAATATATTTTAAATATTATTTTATTAATTTGTAATATTAGTGCTTCAAACTATGCAAGTATATTATCTTATATTTGACAAAAATATAATTTAAATCTTATAAAAATTGAATTAATAGTTATTAGATTTCAAAATTTAACAATTAATTATTTATTATATAAATTTTCTTCAAATTTTATATAATAAAATTTGCAAAACAATAATTCAAAAAGTTATTACTTAGTACAATATTTAATAAACTTTTTTATAAATTTTATATAATTAAAAATAATAGATTAAAATAAATCTAATAACTTATTTAAATAATACAGAATTAAAATTTTAATTTAAAATTATTAATGATTATTATTTGGGATACAAATCTTTTGTTCAGATATAAAAATAATTTCTTAATTTTTATAATATAATATTTTGAAATAAACTGGCAATTACAGCTTTTTGATTTTAAACTTTATTAATTAAAAATATAAAAATTTTTAAAAAATCATTTTTAAAAGTTTACTAAAACTGAATTTGCTTGATTATAAAAAATTAATTTTATATAATCTAAAGTAAAATTAATAACAAATAATTAATTTTTATATAAATATAAAGAGCAGGTTTTTATAAATAAAATTTTGCAACACAAGTTATAAATAATAAAAGTGAACGTCACTTTTATGAATTTATATTATTCAAGTACAGTAATAATTGATCACAAAATTTTGTAATTGCAATTTTTTCAAAGAATGCTTGGCATAATCAATTGCTTAAGAAATTATTTATTGCTAATTGTTAATTTTGTATTATATAATTTTTTAACTGATAATTTAATTTTAGTTAATATATAAGTTATATATTTAAGTTATGTTATTAATAATAATCAATTTAATATTACATGTACAATTAATATGAAAAGTTCACTTATCAAGCGTTGGGAATACTTATATCAAAAAAAATTACCTCTTTTGAATTTCTATTTCAATGATGTAATACTTTTGAGCGCCACTGTATAGTCATTTGCCACAACACCGACGACAGCATCCACCACAACAGATATAGCAAACGCATTAGTCTGCAGCTGTTGCAACTTTGTTGATATTGTTACTGTTGTTGCTGCTGTCGGTTCGCATTTTGCAGCGGTTATTGATACCGTAAATGTTTAGATATCACAATTGAAGTCCTGGCGTACCTGTTAGGACAGCTAGATTAATAAATAATAATCTTAAAAATAATTATTTTTACCTTCCATATCACGGATCGTGTCATCACACATTATGCTGCAACTGTTGTAATTGCTGCTGATAACGTTGCTGCGACTAATGCAGTTGTCGTCGCCAGCCGCCGATCGAGTTGTAGGGTTGCTTTCTTTGTTGGTGGTGATAGTGCTTGTTTAGCGAGCTTGGAACGGAGGTTGGAGTTTATTTGCTGCTGATATTGTTTATGCGGCTGATACAGCTATTGTATAATC